TTCATTTTGCATGCAAAAATATATTTCAATTTATATGAAAGGAAACTCATTCATTTGTCCAATTAATAATCTCTGCAAACATTCAATACGTATTTGCTTTGATTATAAAGTTGCTCGGAAATGTTGGAATAGCAGGGCGTAGTCGGAATTGCCATTTAATTAAAGCTATTCAATTAACGTTGTTTTCCTTTTTTTCTGTTTGCCGTTGCAGAAATGAAAGCAATCTGGCATTCAGCTTTATTATCCATTTACAAAGAGAACTAAAAGCAATTTTAAATGCATTTCGACTTGCCATGAATGTATTGCGAATGTATTGATCGAATTTCGAATGAAACTTTTGACGAATGCGAGCTGGTGGCACTGATAAACAAAGTCCAAGATATACAAAGGCTTAGCAAATATTCATGAAATTCTAAACTATAATCAAATCATTTGTTGACTAACGGGTGAGCAGGGGTTGCACTGCTCAAATGGCGGCAAGTGTGCTTAATGACAAAAGTTTGCAAATCAGAAAAGCATTTTATTGTCACACACACACACACACACACGCATGCAATTAAGAGCAGTTAGATGATAGACATAACATAAGATATACGAAAATCTCATAATCGCTCTCAGCACAAAATACTCATATCACTGTGGGAGGCCGGCCTGGCAGGATGTGGGTGTGGCAGCGGCAAGCCAAAAACTTCATATCTTGTGTGCAGCCAGGACAAACTCATTTGACTGCATTAAAATTAACACAGGCCAGCCCACAGCGGGAGATAGACAGGGAATGAAAGAGATAGATAGAGAGAGAGAGAGAGAGAGAGAGAGAGAGAGAGAGAGAGAGCGAGATAGAATGATTGTTTGAGCGAAACAGCATCAGTTGTTACAGCCATTGTTTTGCGGCATGCGGCTTGACAACTTCCTGCTGCATTTCCGCAACTGCCGCAAAACACGCATAAAAAGATGTGTGGCCATAATACGCATACGCCGCGTGGCACGCCGAAAGTTCGCTCGTTTTGTGCCGCAAAACCTTTGCCTATCCGCGACTTAATCAACAGCCACAACTGCCGCACTAGGCACTACCTGTATCCGCCAACACTAAGTAGGGCACGAAATTTCACAATTTTCGGCACTATACATATACATATATATTAATTTAAGTATATATAGAAGATGTAGACATAATTAAAAACTTTTGGGAGTGACAGCAATCTAATCAGCGTTGAAAATTAACGTTGCAAATTGCTTTGACAGTTTTATTTAAGCAACTGCCACGCCCACGCCGCCTGCTGTTAATAAACAAATTATAATTTCAATAAGCTTGTCGCACGTAAAACAAATTTCATACGCCCCGTTGGCCTCACAGCATCAAAATCAACAGAAACAGCAACAACAGCAACGGCAGCAGCAGCAGCCAAATTGTTGTTTGTTTGTTTATTGTTGTTATTTTTGCAGCTTATTTAGCTGCTGTCAAAATGGCAGCTGCCGCTGCAACGTTGCAGAGTCAACAGCAATTTTCATAAGCAAATAAATAGATTTGTGCTTGGGATAGCCTCGCGATGCGCTCTAAAAGAAAATTAATCTTTTGCAAATTGTTGTTGATAAAAATATATACCGTAAATTATAAATTTATTAAAATAGGATTAATGGTGAGTAATGTATGTATAAATATACTTGATTAAAATAAATAAATATAGAGCAAAACAACATTTGAAATGCAAATTTTCATAATAATGTTATTTGTAGATAGTCAGAAGATTTATAAATATAATTTAAATGAAATCTTATCGAATAAATAGTAGATAACTAAAAAATATATATATGAATCTGAATCATTTATTATTGAAATAAGAGCTAAGCTGAGTTATCTGATCAAGCTTTCAAACATTTGTAAGCTCCCATAATAAGTTTGTTTTTAATAATCTTATTATTATTGATCCATGGATCAATTCGATCTGTATTTAATCTTTATAAATAATATGCTTAAGAATATGAAAACGTTTGATAATGCATATTTTAAATTTACTATAAATACAGATAACAAAGCAGTATCGTTTAGCACCGGAGATGTTTACGTAATATTTGGAGCACTTAATCATGCATTGAAAGATGTTTTAGTATATATTGGGCAGTTGGAAATTTCGATGTGAAAGATGCACCTCGCTTTGGTCGACCAATCTTTGAAAAAGTCGATGAAATTATGGAAAGGATTGACCAGGGCCGTGACATAAGCAGCCATGACATCGCCAATGAACTAAACATTCATCATGAAACAGTTCTGAACCATTTATCTCTCTCTCTCTCTCTCTCTCTCTCTCTCTTTTACTCCCTTAAAATCCCCCTTAATAACAGCTTCTTTTGAAAATATCGCCGTGCACGTTCTGCCGCTCTTTTAACTTAAGTTATCAGCACACTTATGCGGCGGGCATTAGCTAATCGGGAAACTGTATTAGCACCTAATTGCTGTGCAGCTGCTTGCTTTGGTGCCGGCAGAGCAAACGCGATGGGGCAGTTGTTCAAACTGATATAGGCAGTTCACCAAAAAGTGCAACCAAACATGCCCATTTTCCACTCAGGTCCCCTCCCCTGCCCCACGCTGCGCCACCCTGCCGCTAACCTCAACAACATGCCGCAAACAATGAAGCTTAGCGCCCAGTTACAAGCTGCAAGTCAAGCAGCTGCTGGGCTAACAGCAGCTGTTACCACAACTCTCACACACTCACACCCACCACACACACACACACACACACACATTGTTTATGTGAGCGCGTGCACAACTCCAACTGCAGCCCATCGAACTCAGTTGCAGGCCAGGGACAAATGTGGCGACGCCTACGTTGAGAAAAATATGCGAAAATTTGCCGAAGCAAACGCGGACTTTCCTTGTCCCATGTCCGGGGCAAAGTTTTTCCCGACTGGCACATGGCCAGCCCATGTGTGTGTGTGTGGGTGTGCGTGTTGGGCTGACAATAATCCAAAAGTTTTACAAGCAAAACGAGCGACCATTACATGGGCGGACGGGCAGAAACAGAAACCACTTGCAAGCAATTTTCATCAGCGCATTTTCCTCCTCTTCATTTTGCTTTTATATATATGTATGAATTTTTTTTTTTTTTTTTACCATTTTACCAGGCGTAGCCACAGCTGCTGCTGACAGGCAGGACGAGCATTTTGCTTAGTGTCTGACCGCAACTCGCTGCAAATCCTCCACACACAAAGTCTGCAGAGAAATCTCTGGGCAAACGCATTTAGCATTTGGCTGCAGTGCGGCCCATGTCCACATCCAGCTCGGCATCCAGGGGCTACAACTTCATTGTCTCCGGCAGGCAAAAGGTAAACGATTCGAGGCCAGCTCGATAAGAAACTAATGCCAGTGCAACCGCAGCCAGCATGCATAGCTCTCCCCAGAGCTAAGTCCATTTAGCAGTACTTACCATAAAGCTCAACCAGCTCTAGGCCCTGAGCCCTATATGGACTGAGAGTCGGCTGCGGGCTGCACTGTGGCCTAAGCGCTGGATAGGGTTGCTTACAAGCCTGACTGAGAGAAAAACAAAAAAATAAAACAAACAAATAGACGGCCCGGCAATCAGGAGTAGTCGACCTAGTCGATACCTCGACCAAGAGTTGAGATCGGAATTAAGTATCTGAGGTGTTAGCCACAATCATCTTGAGCCACTGTGTATATTCATATTTTAATAAATTAAATTAAAAGAACAAAAATGATAAAAATAGACCGAATCTGTAGATCATAATTAATAATTTCATTAGCAAAAAAATTATATTTTTTACTAAAACCTAAATGTCCAATTGGTATGAAACTAAAGAGCAACAAACACATTTTAGCAATTCTAAGCATTATAGACTACAATATTCAAATTATATTCAGAGTCATGTCAATTGGCATCAGTGCTGTCCTATAGAAACAAGGATTTGTCATCCCATATACCCATTTACATTTACATTTACAAAGAAAAGAAAAAAAGGAAAAGAATTCTTAAAAGAGAATGCGAAGAAAAAATATGGTTAGAAGTGAAAAATAGCAGTTTACACTTTACACTTGCCACAATGCAGATGTAAATGGCCACGCCCACAGCTCACGCCCGCTGGTCAGACGCTTCGGTTACTTTCGCCAGCTGTTAATAAATTTAAAGTTTTGCTTTTACTTTGCTGGGCAAAAAGGAAAATCGGACCAGAGCGAAATAAAAATTGAATAGACAACTGAGCCAGCAGACGATTCACACACTTGCTCGACTGTGTATGTGTGTGAGAGTGTGTGTGCTTGTAGGAAAGTTTAAACTTTCTTTAAACGCTGCATGAATTGTTTGTCTTGTTTTCTCCCTCTACAACTGCAACGTGTTGTTGTCGCTGCTGCTGTTGTCCAGCTTTCCATTTGCGACGCTAAAAAAACGTTTTACAGTCTGTGCACAAAGTATACGTCCGTGTATGCGTGTGTTTGTGCACTTTTGGCAGGACATTTATTAGCTTTGTTTTGATGTTTTTGCTTATGCAATTTCCAAGCTACATACATATATCGATAGCTGCATTTACCTACAGGTCCACAGAGCGTGGCATGTAGGTGACAGCGGAGCTCATATTTCCCAGACCGACATTTATTGCAATATTTGGAAGCTTCTGCTGCTACTGATTGATTGAATAGTTATATTTTGAAATGAAAGCAGCTCGCAAGAGAATTGGAGATAAAATTCGTTTATTCATTTTCCATTTTATTTTCCATTTATGCATTTTGTTTGTTTTATTTTGTCATTATAAGCTCAACATGTCATTTGTAATTGTTTTCTACGTAATATTAACTTGGGGTTTTCAAAGGAATTTCACATGCAACAGGTGCCATACACAACATTTGCCAGAGAGGTGCGAGGGCTAAGAGGCTAGTACTTAAGCTGTCAATCTACAGAAACTGTTAGGCAACTATTGGCATTTCCAGGGTATTTAGTAGTGTTAGAAACGTTACGAAATTCTACATTTATTTGTTCAGCAAGAGCCGGCTGAGCTACGTTGAGGAAAGGCACTTGTCAGGTGTTTTGTTTATTGGATTTAAATGGAAATGCACTAAAGTTTAATTAACCATATAAACTAGTTGATATCGTTTGAGAGTCCGGACCAGCTGTTCCTCTTGTGAATGCTTAGCTTGTGCGATTTGTGATGTCTTTAATTTGTGATGTCTTTAATTTTAAAAGCTGGGCCTGAAGCCGTTGCGCTGCGATAGCACTGAATCGGGACTCTTGAGCTCCATGGCCAGCTTATAGCCCAGCTCGGGCCGACGATCTCGACCCTCAGCCATTGCCTTGACCTGATCAAAAGCAAAAGTTTATCCAGTAAATCCCATTTTTAGCTACTCTGCCGCATCACTCACCTCGTTGCTGTGCACAATGACGCCATCGCTCTTGATCACCTTCTCCTTGGTGTGCTCAATGTCATGGAAGTCGGTGCCGCGGCAGCAGTCGTCTATCAGGACGGTGCGATAGCCAGCGGACAGAGCATCCACAGCCGTCGCACCCACGCACACATCGTAGGCCAGGCCGCACACGTAGATGTCTGTGGCGCCCTTCATTTTGAGCTGGGCATTCAGCGTGGTGTCCGACAGCTTCTTGTTGTCCCAGAACACGGAATAGGAGTCCACCTCCGGATTGGTGCCCTTGTATACCTTGATGCCATGATCGACCACCTTCAGATCCTTGTGCAGCTCCGCGCCCCAAGAGTCCTGCACACAGTGACGCGGCCACAGACGTTGCTTCATCGGCGGTGGCCCGGCAAAGATGACCGTATCAAAGACCTTCGCCGAATCAGCATCCAGCTGCGAGCATAAATGCATAAAATATTTCATATATATATATATTTGATTATAATAATGTTGAATATCATTAAAGTGAACTCAACGATTTGCAGGGAGTGCAATAGAATAAGGTAAGGGTTCATGTACGGAGTCTATAAATAGACAGATGAATACTAACCCTTGCAACCCCAGAGTCAGATTATGTAAGAGACGAGCGCTGAGCTTTACAAACTCAGCGATAGGATAAGAATATGTTATAGACCTTACACACTCAGCAATAGACGCACTAGATGTAAAGGTTGAAAATATGCAGGAGTCTAAGTATAAAAACCCGGGCTCAGAAGAATAAAGATCAACACTTAACTAAACACCATCATAGTAGTTTGAATGGGAACCTAATCATTTCAACAAGCTCAGTTAGTGTTGATGAATCAAGTGGAATTAGCTAATTAGGAATTGAGGGTCAGACTTAATTTGCTCCCGTTCATAATTCATACATTAGAATCTCGATGTAACGACGGTCACGAGCGTAAAGACGCTATAGCCGTATGAGCTTGCTCATATAAGTTTGTCTGGGGACCAGAATTTTTATCTCAATAACCATACGGATGCTATAATCGGAGTCGTTAAAACTGAAATATACTGTACTTTCCCATATTTGTTAATTCAATACAACAAATTTTTATAGCAATTTTCTATTCGTTTATAACCTCAAAAATTTTTATTTACTTTAAATTAAATTTTTCTATTTTACGGCAATGTTTTATGCTAGCGGCAAACTTCTCTTTTGAATACAATTCCTTTACAATAAATACAATTGCCATCCTAAGACATAAAATATATTTCAATATTATAGCTCTACTACTTGGATAGCGCTTTGTACTTGACCATTTAGGGATTAAGCAGATGAGATAAAAATCAAATCAATCAAATCATATAATTGGAACGGAGCTGCAAAGTATATACAATTACACTTTACCTATCTTATAAACTTATCATATTCTCGCAACTTTAACCCATTTCATAATCTGATATATGTTACGTTCATTTGTATTGAAATTTTGGAGCCTTAACACTATCATAATCCCTAAGGCTTTAACTAACTGATTGTAATTGAGGTTTCAATTTCAATATCAAAATGCAAACTGCCATCTACTTGGTTAAAATGCTTGGACAATTCGAATATATGTATGTATATATGGCTCTCACTCACCGCCGAGGACTCGTCCATGGGTCGCATTTTGACATTATCAATAAATGAAACATGATCGCTGGGATGCCAGTCTAGGGAGTAGAAGACTGCATCGAAGTCCACCGAGTCCAGCAGCTTGTTAATGGGCTCCAGTATCTGCAAGGAGAGCGGTCATTGGATAAGCTCACAACAGATAAGAAAAGGCGGGCAGGGGAAGCGTGAGCGGGAGATGGAGCGGTCTGTCAGCTGAGCAGTCCATAAAGCGACGACGGAAGTGTGTGTTATTAATTTTGACAAATTTTCATGTTCGAGCGAGGGCAGTAAGTGAAGTGCCGGCCAGCACAAGTGCACCACCGAGGCGGACGTACTGCGGTGGGCGGGTGGCCTCGGCTCAGCCAATTGCGGCAGATGGCAGCCAAGAGCTGATGTCGATGCTGCTGCTGCCGATGCGGCACTTGGTTGGCTTTGCCGCTGACGATGGCATCCGGCGTATGTCGCAGCGCGGATGCGACTTAAGTAAAGCATATCCGCTTCCGCCTATGCACACGCACACAGCTACAGCCACAGCCACAGCTACAGCTACAGCTATATATATAGAGCAACAGTATCATTCGATGGTGGCTGACATGCAGAGTACCGAGCGTCAGGCTCTTTTTCTCTCTCTCTCTTTCTCTCTCTCTCTCGTTGGCGGCAATGACTTTGGCTCATCCTGCGCTTCGCTTGGCTGCCTCCATTTTCATTTCTTGTTACGTTTTATGTCTTTCCGTCGCCGCGTACCTGCCAGCCCCGCACCAGCTTGCCGGTGCCCAGCCCGCCTGCGTTTTATCAGCTGAACTGCTGCCCTATCTGTGGCCACAGCCCACGACTCACAACTGCCAGCTTCAATATTATCTTCGTCTTGGCTTCGTTATATTTTTTCTTTTCTTTTCTCTCTTCACCAACTCCAGGTCTCACCTCATGTCCTTGCTGCTGTGCACTGCAATTACTTATATCCAAGGAACCACTTATAAAATCATTTTGTACATCAACAATGAGAAACGCGTTCACCGGTCGCACAATCTGCCAAGAGAGTGAAAAAGAGAACGAGATAAGTTATATGGAATTAGAGCGAGCACAACATACACGAATTTCTCTACAAATATAATTAACGAATGCGAAATACCTTTACTTACTATGTAGATATTTTGAGGTGTCTACAGAAGAAATTATTATAAGAGAAATCTTAACTTAATTATATTTTAAAAAATGTTTCTCATTTCTGCCTTCTCTTAGCAAGTCAGTCAAAGCAAAGAGACGATTCCTTGAGTTAGGAAAGCCGATAGCTAAATATGTAATATGATAATAATCTAATTGCAAATATTAATAATGCAGAAGTTAGCGATAGATTGTTGGGAAAGAAAACCCAAATCAATCTAATCAATCTTCAAGCAACCGCCTGTTAAATTCAATGACTATTTACTAATACCCTAACAATACAGGGCATTAAGATGGCAACATGAACAGCCACGAAAAATTGTAAGAAAATTGTATGGGCAAAGTAAGTGAAGCAGACACCACAAAAGACGTCGGGCCAAAGTACATAAGCACAAACATGAAAAGCTACAAAGAAATTTGTATACACGTGCATTAGTGGGTGTAGCGTACATATGTGTGTGCACATGTGTGTGTGTGTGCTCGTGTGTGCGCTGATGAGTTTCTTCATTTTATTCATTTTTTTTCCTCTGCTGCTGCTCCTCTTCCTTTTTTGTTGCCGCCCATTATAAATGCGTTTTAAATGAAGTAAAAGCCAGTCAAAAAAAAAAAAAAAAAAAAAAAATAGCTTTCGAAAAAACGCTCGCATGAGAGCAAAGAGCTCGTTAGGTCTGCCATTGCTATCTTGACTGTCAGCCCAGTAGCTGTATAGAGTATAGAGCACAGGGGCTGCGCAGAGCAAAGCATCATCAGTAGCTGCAGCAGCGGCAGGAGCAGCAGCAGGAGCGGGTGCTGATGCACGATGTTCGTCGTCTAAGCTGATTATGTTCGAGCATATTTAAAATTAGTGAAGCGCTTTTAATTTGTTATTTATGTGCACGCTGATTATGAATGATTATGATCTATGCGCAAACACCCACACAGAGACACACACACACACGCATACGCAATCGAAGGGAGTACTGAAAATGGAACAGGAATAGAGACTGGGAGGACAGTCAAGAGCAACAGCAGGAGCAGCAGGAGCAGCAGGAGCAGTGGCACATTAGCGTCAGCACGTTGCAAGCGCCATGCAAATGAGAGATGATTGCGTGACACGTGAATCACGATTAAAGCTGACGTTTTTAATGCTATACAAATTTGTATTATTATTATTTATTAATCAATGAGATTTCTATATTTCTATATATGTAATGCATTAAATTATTTTCGCTCATCTATGAAGTCATTTTTTGTCGTATATCTCTTCATATACTAGAAAGGGCCAAGACTATTTTTATATTATATTTATATTTTATATATATATTCATATTCGAGTTGGTTTCTTGAATTATTCTTAGTATAATTCTTGAATAGGAAAAGTTTTAGACACTCGTAATTAATTTGTCTTGGAGCATGTTTCATTGAATGCTGAATGTGCACTCAGCTTGGCCATCTCTAGATATCTGTTATTTACCGCTTGTTGTTGCCAGCTTTGATTTGTGTTGCTGTTGCAACTGTTGGCAGAGCGTTTAAAATATGTCATCCAGCTAAATGCTTTGAAGCGGCCCACGTGAGTTGCAGCCGTAGCCGTAGCCGTAACCGTAAACGCAGCCGTAACCGTAGCCGTAGCCATAGTTGTAGCCGCAGCCGCAACAGCAGGAGCAGCAGGTGGTACGCAAATGAAGCTGTGCGACTTGGTGGGAGCAGAAGCAAAATGAGAGCGAGAGCGACTGAGAGAGAGAGAGAGAGAGAGAGAGAGGGGCTCCACGCTGAAAGGCTAGCTTGCTATTGCTTCTGGTGCGGGGCAGACAGCGCTTAAGCAGTTGATGATTTATCGCCTGTTGCCAGTAGCTGTTGCCCTGCCAGTGGTTGGCATTAGTGCCTCTGCAAACATGGCGGTGGTGCAGCGGTGCAACGATGCAGCGGTGCTCGGGAGCCGCATAGTTGCGGAAGTGATTTACATTTCGCATGTCGAGCATGCGACGTATTTTGAGCATAGTTTTCGGTTAGCATACTTAGAGATAATGGCCGGATAAAGGTAGTTAATGTATCAATTTGCTGTCACATCTCTCTCTCTCTCTCACTCTCTGTGTCTCTATGTGTGTGTGTGTGTGTGGGGGCGAGCTATTTCTGGAACGAGCATATATCACGCTGGGAATTAAATGTGCTCTAACTGGCTTAGCAGCCCATAAGCGGATCAAAATCGAGCTGCCTCGCAAGGTATTGAGTGGCTTAAAATAGAAATGTCAACGTAAGTATATATGAAGCTTAATACCATAAGATTTATGTTTCATTTTGTAATTGTATTTATATCGAGTATCTATTTAATAATTTAAAATTGAAAATTCAAATTTATAGCAATAATTATAATAATAATATAATGTATAATGTAAAGTTAAATAATATAATGGGAAGAGCATATATATTCCTTCACATAAATTTATACAATTAATTTTTAATTTTCTTTACGTATTTCTTATCTAATTCTCTTTCATTTCACACTTACAGCTCTCATTCAGTTTCATCAATTAATTATACATAGTGGATCAACCTGTCAGAGTTTCCACAGCTGACCCCAAAATTCTGCGTCCATCAATTTTGGTTCACAATTTGAACATGAGTTTCACTCGCTCACCTCAAGTGCGGCAGTCGCCACAAGAAATCAGAGGAGCAGCATCCAATTATGAACCATTTGACGCAGCTGTTGCTGACGAGCCTCAATTCACCCCCGCCCCCTCCCTTGCCCACTCGTTCACGCCCTCGCTCTTCGTAAGCCAAAGTAAGTTGGCAAATTAACACGCACCTCACACTGTCCCGTTCCGTTGCCGAGCCCTGCTCCTGCTTCTGCTCCTGCACTGGCTAATGCAAACAACTGACCCTTGGCCCGAGCACTTATTGTTATGGCCGCCCACCTCCCACCTCTGGCGCGCCCCTTCTCGCCTGTTGCTACAGTTTAATTTAAAGTTGAAACTATGAATGTTTGATTAAAGTGCCAAGAAACGCTCAGAGCAGGAGCTTCGAGCAGGCCGAAATCCTGTTCATTCATTTGGCTGGCAAATATGTTACGGCTAAATTAATTATTGAGCATTGGAGTGCGGTACCCACAGACATGTTGTGGATGTGACACCCCACCTATAGGATGCCTTTGCCGTGTGCCAGGCTATTGCGGTCTGTGTGTGTGTGTGCGGCCAAGACAGGGCACCTTTAGATAACCACAGCAAATCTTAAATTCAAATTACACTTCAGCCCGATTCTGTCAGAGTTGGCAACAAAAGAAACAAGTTATAGAAATATCTTTGCTACACCTAGCGCTCATTCTCTCTCTCTCTCTCTCTCTCTCTCTCTCTGCCGCTGTCAATCTCTCTCTCTCACTCTATTTCTCTCCGTCTCCCTCTCTCGTCTTGGCTGACATGTGTGGCTGGCGAAAGTTTCAGTCTTTTGGCTGCTGCCATGCAACATTTCGAGTCAATTTCAGTGCTGAATAAATTTCAAAATCCGTAAAACCCAAAGAGCTGAGCTCTTTTTGCCTTTAGTTGAGAACTGCTGCTGCCGCTGCTGCTCCTCACGAGCCGCAGACAAAACTGTCAAAGTGTATGTGTGTGTTTGTGTCTGTGTCTGTGTCTGTGTGTGCCAAAAAAGTTGCCAAGCTAAACGAATAAGTACGGCAAATGGTGACGTCGACAGACAGATAGGACGAGACGAAGGCGCACGAATCGAATGAAATTCAACGTGATATTGAAGTATGTGCCAAAAGGGAAACGTGCCCACCCGCACTCACATACCCAAACATACCCTTGCACACACACACACACACACACACACATATGTATGGGTTTGAGGCAGGTGCTAAAGCAATTTCCGTTTTGAAATTGTTGCATAAGTTGGCGGCTCTGGCAGCTCGGAGCTGGGCCTGCCATTTGGCACATACTTCACTCGCGCGCTTTCGCCCTTTCTATATATAATGTATATAACTTTCTTCTTTTTTTTTTGGCTACTCCTCAACATAGGCTAGACAGCACCCGAAACATTGTCGCTGACAGTTTGTGGGTTTTCGCTCTGTGTCTGTGTGTCTGTCTCTGTGTGTGTGTGTGTGTGTGTGTGTGTGTGTGTGTGCGTGTTGCAGGCAACAAAATTACATTATACAATTTATGCGGCTGACTGGGACCAGAAATTGTTTGGCCAACTCCCTGACGAGCATCTAGCGCAAACTAACTATAAATAAGCTAGACGCTTCAACGGGAAAAACGTCTACAAAACTTTGACACATTTGCAGGCATCCGAAAAATAAAAATAATAGTAATAAATAAATAAACAAGTGAAACAACAAATGCGCTGGAGCTGATGTGCCAATAAGCGGCTTAAGAGAGTAAAACTTTTCCACAAATTATTCCAATAATCTGCGCGGCTTGCAAAAATATTTTTATTGTTAGTATTTTAGTATCAAATAACGGATTTATATATCAGTTAATATTTTGAGGTCGGAAATATATTTTTATTTGTATGTGTATGTTTTAAACTTGTTTTAAACGCTTAAGCTACAAATAGAAAAACCTTTAATTTTTTGATAAATAATATTCTATAGTAATCTCAATAATCTTAGGTTTATACATGAAATTCATCTACCTATAATTTATATGTGAATATTGTTTAGATTATATTTAAGTTTTATAAGCTTATAAATAAGTCGGAAAATTATTTATTTTTGATTATTGATTTATTATTAGTTTCATTTAACTGCATTAAAACAGAAATTCAAGTTCAGAGCAAAAGACTGCAACTGCAATTTAATCTTTTGTCTTTCAGTGTTGTGTTAGAACAAAGACTCACAGCAAGAGAGTCGCCTCGACCAAGCGCAATAATCATAGCACTGAAGAAAACATTAGAGA